ATATATATATATATATATATATATATATATATATATATATATATATATATATATATATATATATATATATATATATATATATATATATATATATATATATATATATATATATATATATATATATATATATATATATATATATATATATATATATATATATATATATATATATATATATATATATATATATATATATATATATATATATATATATATATATATATATATATATATATATATATATATATATATATATATATATATATATATATATATATATATATATATATATATATATATATATATATATATATATATATATATATATATATATATATATATATATATATATATATATATATATATATATATATATATATATATATATATATATATATATATATATATATATATATATATATATATATATATATATATATATATATATATATATATATATATATATATATATATATATATATATATATATATATATATATATATATATATATATATATATATATATATATATATATATATATATATATATATATATATATGTATAATTTTTTTTTTTTTTGGTACAATAAAAGTGCTATTTTGTGGTTCACAACATTTAGCTAATAAGACAATGGCATAATTCAAATGACTTAAACCATGATGATTCACTGAAAAATTTATTCAAGTGATCCATTCAAAACAGTTTATTCCTGAAGGAGCAAGGAGCAAGCAGAAGGAGCAATTTTGCCCTGAGATCTACAAATGTGGCTTTATTTGGAAGTTAAAAACAAAAAGACAAAAATAATGAAACAACAAATCTATAACTAATATAAATAATAATAATTATAATAATATTACAATATTATTATTATTATTATTATACTTTTTGTATTATTATTATTGTTATTGTTATTATTATTATTATTATTATTATTATACTTTTTGTATTATTATTATTGTTATTATTATTATTGTTATTATTATTATTATTATTATTATTATTATTATAGATTTTATTATTATTGGTCCCAAAACACTCTTAATTAACAAATTTATTATTTATTTTTTTATATTTATTTTTCTTTTATCATGTCATCAAATGATGACAAAGGGTTTTTTTTAGGTAAAAACATCTAAATCAAACTACAAAAAAATGGCTGTTATATTACTAAAAAGGAAACAACATACATATGCGTTATGTATACATTCTTGATAGTTCATACTGTGTGGTTGTTACTCACGTGAATGAGCACCGTTTTGCCTGTGATTTCAGGCATTTGTCTGCGATTTCTCAAAACCTGTCGACGAGTCGAAATCAGGGCTAAAATCACGCAGTCTGAACTCCGCATTAGAGCTTTAAAAACTACAAAGATTTTAAATGAATGAGTTACCAAATCGTGACACCTAAAATCACCAAAAATAACATCAAACAACCCTTGTTCTAAATATTATATTTAATATAAGTAATTCATTCATTAATTTTCCTTCAACTTATTCATCAGAGGTCACCACAGCAGAATGAACCACCAATTAATCCAGCATATGTTTAACGCAGCGGATGCCCTTCCAGCCACAACCCATCACTAGGAAACACCCATACACACACACACACACACACACACACACACACACACACACACTACGGCCAGTTTAGTTTCTTCAATTCCGCTATAGCGCATGTGTGTGGACTGTGGGGGAAACCGGAGCACCCAGAGAAAACCCAAGCCTAAATGGGGAGAACATGCAAACTCCACACAGAAATGCCAACTGACCCAGCCAGGACTCGAACCAGCGACCTTCCTGCTGTGAGGAGACCGTGCTAACCACTGAGCCACTGTGTCGCCCTAATATAGATAATATTTCATATTTTATTTTGCCATACAAATTATTGTCACACTAAGAGGTGTAGGAGTGAGTAAGTCGCGCGATATACATATACAACACTCAGATTGATATTTTGTATTAGTTCACTAGGTTCAGGAGAATGTGCTGTTTTCTGTATGTTTTGTTTTTAGTTAGAGCAGTTTAGTTAAGACGTTTGGTACGTTGATGTTTCTTTTCATGCTTTTCTTTTCATATTTAGTTCAGTTTGGTGAAAACAGTTACTGAGTTTTGTTATATTTATTTCTTTGATTTAAGCACATTCAACTACTTCCTCTCCCCCCAGGTAATTCATTATTTAATCATTGTAAATATTTTTCTTTCACTGTATAATATATTTTCACTGGTTTCATTGGAAGTATGGGCAATTAATAATTTAGTGATTATTTGGTTTTCAGTTTATTTCTTTCTCCATCCGCTTGTCACACACATTAAACTAATGTATGTTATGTCATCTACTCCTAGTTTAATATTAACATCTAAAAGGACGTAACAATGACGTTTTATTGAGTGTCTTCTGTAAAACACAATAATCTCGAACAGAACATTTATGTTAGGTCTTAAATTAACCCCAATTCTATTGACCCAAAGCAAATGTACAGACTTCAACCTGCAACCAGATCAAGAGCACTAGCCAACTTACAAAATCCATCAACTCTTGCGAAAGTAATAAGCATGTGGCATGTCATCCAGGTCTTTTATAAGCGGCTGTCAGCAGTGTATATGAGGCTGCACCTGTGATCGTCTGCTGAACACCTGCGCGTTTCATTATGAGCGCAGCTGAGAGGTCCAGCGCATTTCAGAACCACACTGCCTTTAAAGAGCCACACATACAGTCAGCCAATGCAGATACAGCTTTAGTCAGCACAGACTCACTGGAAATACCTGCCTCAGTCTACATTTTTGAGAAATGTCAGATGCTTTTTCTCTGGGTATGTATTACTGCACGTTTCACATGACAGATCTGCTAGAGGGCGCTGTCTACATTTATTTGAATCTAAAATATGCTACTTGTGGTATGTTTTGATGTATATTTCAAATGCATGTCCTATTTGTACAAATCAAAATCAGCTAGCGAATTACAGAGCTAAACCCCTCCCTTAACCCAACCAATAGTGTTTTCAAAAGCAAACAATAGAGAATGCATTGCAACTACATTGTTTTACCTTGATTTTACATTGCTTTTCTCTGTTTTTTGGAAGCGTGCTTATCTGGACCCAAACTTGAGCGCTCAGCAGCACAACATTGACCAGAAAAGCCAGGTCAGAAAGCCAGAAGAGCTGTCTATATGGCGATAGATAGGTGACGAAATTGTATTCATTACAAATGAAAGAGTTAAGTTGCTTTGCTGTGTTTATTTGGTGTTGTGCAAAGAACTGCATGAAAATAATCCTTTATTCATCACCAATTTGTCCCTGTAAATATCATTACTGTGAAAAGGAACAAATGTTGTTGTCATCATTCTGCCCTCTAGTGTTCATTTTACCAACAAACTGCAGTCAAACGTATGGTGAAGTACTTTTTTTTTGCCACTTCACAAAAATGTAGGCCTAAACAAGTATTCCCAATGAGACTGAGTTGCATTTACATCTACGTGAGGATTCACTACAATAACTGCACATTTATATACCAACCAAAGATCAATGCTAAAATGTGTCAAATCAACATGAATCAGATTTTAAGCTTTGTTTTAGCTGATGTGTTTAAATACAAGTATTGATTTTAGCCAACATTCTTTTAACACACAGCTTATGGCATGGCTGTTATAGATGTGCTCCATATTGGCATGATAGCATCACACAGTTGCTGCAGATTTGTCGGCTGCACATCCGTGATGCAAATCTCCCGTTACACCACATCCCAAAGGTGCTCTATTGGATTGAGATCTGGTGACTGTGGAGGCCATTTGAGTACAGTGAACTCATTGTCATGTTCAAGAAACCAGTCTGAGATGTTTACACCACCACCACCAGCCAAAACCGTTGACACAAGGCAGGATGGATCCATGCTTTCATGTTGTTGATGCCAAATTCTGACCCAACCATCCGAATGTTCTTTTGTCCAGTTTGGTGAGCCTGTGTGAATTGTAGCCTCAGTTTTCTGTACTTATCTGACAGGAGTGGCACCCGGTGTGGTCTTCTGCTGCTGTAGCCCATCTGCCTCAAGGTTGGACGTGTTGTGTGTTCAGAGATGCTCTTCTGCAGACCTCGGTTGTATCGAGTGCTTATGTAAGTTACTTTTGTCTATCGGCTGGAACCAGTCTGGCCATTCTCCTCTGACCTCTGGCTTCAACAAGGCATTTGTGCTCAAAGAACTGCCGCTCACTGGATATTTTCTCTTTTTCAGACCATTCTCTGTAAACTCTAGAGATGGTTGTGCGTGAAAATCTCAGTAGATCAGCAGTTTCTGAAATACTCAGACCAGCCCGTTTGGCACCAACAACTATGCAAGGTTCAAAGTCACTTAAATCCCCTTTCTTCCCCATTCTGATGCTCGGTTTAAACTGCAGCAGATCGTCTTGACTATGTCTACATGCCTAAATTCACTGAGTTGCTGCCATGTGATCGGCTGATTAGAAATTTTGCGCTAACAAGCAGTTGGACAGGTGTACCTAATAAAGTGGCCAATGAGTGTATAGTTTGTAACAGAATAAAGACAATAATTAAGCCTTGAAATGACACTTGTAACTAGTATTTTAAACTAAAACTATAAAATATATTATGTACTGTAACCATGGGCAACTTTCATTCTATTATGGTTTAACTTTGCAGCAACCTTACACATCTCAATTGTTCTGATCCAGTATTATCAACTATCAACAACTCGACATTCCAGATCCAGCGATGTGACTATTGCAAATGCATACATTGCGATATCAATCACATCCAATATAATTCATACTTTATACTACTGAATTATTGAAGTACATCACTGATAATAATCCTAAATGCTTCCTGAGCATCAAACATCATATTAATATCTATATTTTTAAATGATCATGTGACACTGAAAGCTACAGTAATGATGCTGGAAACTTAGTTTTGAACACCAGGAATAAATTCCAATCATTATTATTATTAAACTGCAATCATCTTAACCAGTTTTTACTGTAGTTTTAAGAAAATAAATGCAGCTCAATCCATGCGACTATTACAAATGCACACATTCCAGTGTCGATGCTAAAACAATATATTAAATGATGCCATTCAGACATCAAACGCAGAGTTGAGTGTGTTTTTGTGGTTTTGTACCTTAGCAGCGAGGCGTCTGACGGCCTGGTCCCGGTGGCGCTGGAGCTCGGGTGTGTTCGGGCAGCTGCTGGAGCTCAGGGTACTGCTGGTGCTGAGTGGAGGAGTCGACTGACTGAGAGGAACATCTGAACTCATTTCTGCACCTGAACAAGACACATATCAACACAGACATCAGTACAAACACCCATTCACATATCCCTGCTTTTATCGTCATTTATATGGAGTTTTGTTCCACTGGCTAACATCAATCAGGATAAAAATGTCAATAATGGAATATAAAAATTGGTGCTATCAATATTAGTAAGTTAACGTATGCGATTAATTTGAAATATTTAACACGTTAAAAAAAATAAACGCAATTAACGCAGTTGCAGTTTTTTTTCCTGTTATGGTCAACGTGTGTTCAACATGCAAAGAAATATGGATAAGACCAAGCAAGCACTTTTAGAAGGAAAGTTTCAGCATAAAACAATTAATGTCGCATCACCAGGCACGTCAGAGTTTCCACGACAGTTTCATGCAATTTCGGGTATTTCATTTTCAATCTTTCGACTTCTGTTTTAATGGAAATTGATACCTCATGGCGAACGGAAAGAAAAACCTCCGCATTTCGTGACTCAATGGTCCTTTAAGATAATCACAAATCGCTGTTTACATGGTAGACTCTTAATCAGAGTATTATCTTAATCATATTAAAATCGGAGTATTGGTGTCCATGTAAATGTACTCAGAAAGTGTCAGATGAAGTCGCGAGATGTCAAAGACAGAGCATGCCTTTCTGCATGAGCCCTCCAAAGTTTTATTAAGTTCGATGTGTTTCCCCCTTCCCGCAAGTTTAATAAAGCACCTCCTTTGCGTTGTGACAGAATTCTTATGAAATATAGCCATACTTTAGAACGCTTAGTTTAAGCAAATTTGATGAACGCGATCATGCGTGTTGAATCTGAAGGGAGTCGATCCGGCTGCCCTGTCCTGCGCGTGCGTGCGTGTGTGCGTGCGTGCGTGCCTGTGTGTCTAGTTCTTAGGAAGAAACCTGCCTAAACGTCATTGTCTGTAGCCACTAAATCAAAAAGTTACGAATTGCCGTGAGATCGCGTTGCACTTTCAGCTCACATCATTCAAAAGAAAAGGTCCACATTGTCCCCCAATAGTGTCAACAGACTGGACTGTTTTAGAAACTGGCTGAATGTAAAGGAGGACTGAGTAACATTATTTCTACTTTATAATTAATGTTCTCAACTCACAGCAATACAACTTTACAATGAGAACAATTTGTATTCAATTCTTTATTATTATTATTATTATTATTTTCCATTTTCCATATCTGCAATGCCTGTATTTTGGCTTTTTTTTTTTTGCAGTCCACTTAGAATCTAACTTGGAAATTATTTTTTTCTTTATTGGCATTGATTGTTTTGAAATTTAAATGGCATTAACATGCCTGTGTTTTAATTTCTGTAATAAATATGACTGTCAAGTAGGATCTTGATAATTTTATTATGGGTTTGTTGTTTACATGAAGAAATCTGTGTTACAAGTTAAAGAAATTTTCTAATAATGAGTTATATTTTGAATTTAAATAGTTTTTGTCTTGCGTTTACATTCATTTTACATGTGAATTGCCAAAATTACAAGTTTCAGTCTTTTAAATGTGATTAATCGTGATTAATTAAAAAAAAGTGTGATTAATTAGTAATTTTTTTTATCGATTGACAGCACAAATATACAAGCTTATGTTAGAAATATCGTCATAAGTGATTCAATTAACAGGGAATAATTGAAATGATTTTAAATGCTATTTTTTTGTAACAAAGTCATGAATCTCTATTATATACAACTTATTTTTGCTTGCATATATATTGAATCTTCCTACCATTAAACATGCTTTGTAAATGCATATGAAACATGTAGCGCATTTACAAGTACATTACAAGTTTTTAAGAACTATATTATTGAAGTACATCACTGTTAATAAGTCTGTTTGTTTGCTTGTTTGCTTTATTTATAGAGCACATTTAAAAACAACTGATGTTGACCAAAGTGCTTTACAAAACGACCAGCATACAAAATCTATACCTATATATGAAAATTGAGCAAAATATATAAAACAGATTAAAATTAATTGATTGCAATCAAAAGGCAAGAGACAGAAGATGATTATTTAGATGAGACTTAAAAGCATCAAGTGAAGAACATGACCTGATATGTAAAGGCAGACCATTCCACATTTGGGGGGCTACAGCAGAAAAAGCCCTGTCACCTCTTGATTTCAACCGTGTTTGGGGACAACTGGCTGAAACTTGTTTTCCGACCTGATTGGCCTCAATGAAGTGTGCCAGCGAAGAAGCTCAGAGATGTAAATAGGTGTCAAACAAGTAGCAATAACTTATACTGAATCCTAAATTGGACTGGGAGCCAGTGAAGAGATGATAAAACTGGTGAGATACTAGAAAATTTTGTCCCAGTTAAAAGCCTAGTAGCTGCATTTTGAACCAGCTGCAGGCCTGCAATATAAGCCGTTAGACTCACTTTTAGGCGATGCAGTGGGACTGTTGGATGCAATCTGCCGCATGCGTCCTCCATGGCAGCTGAGGGCCACCAGGCGGGAGATGATGGCGGTTTTTCCGAAGCCCACGTTGCCGACCAGAATGGAGCCGGAGCTGCTGCTCTCACCTGATTGGCTGGGGCTCAAGTCATCCTCCAGTTGCTGGAACAGCCAATCACGGCCCACGAACACAGAGTCTGTGGTGATGCTGGGAACCTCAAACAGCAGCGGCTTAAGCATGATGTCGGTGGGCTTGTACGGAGCAAAGCAAGCTGCAAAACATGTACAGCACAGGGTTACTCAGGTAAAAATAAGAGAAGTGGGCTGCATGATAAGTCACATTCAAAATGAGATGAGACGAGACAAAACAAAACCCTACTATAACAATGTATTCCTTCCGCACAGACAGCATTTGCATGTTTATCACACATGCAGCTGAATTCAGGATTATTAGCCCTTCTGTTTGACAGAAAGAAGATGAGAGTGTATGATTTCAATTTCTTAAGGAATATATAACAACATTTTTGTTACAAAAGTTATTTCACCAAATACGGATTCTGAAATGTAATTAAATATATATATATATATATATATATATATATATATATATATATATATATATATATATATATATATATATATATATATATATATATATATATATATATATATATATATATATATATATATATATATATATATATATATA